ATTTTTTAGTGAAGCTAACCTTTAATAATAATAATATACTTTTTTAAACGAAGATAATAAATACAAAAAATTAAATGTTGATTGATAACATTTTTCATTCAAATAATAAAGGACAGCGCAAGAATTTAATTTTATGGGATACTATTTTACAAATTAGACGTCAATATATAGGCACATGCAGATGCCTCGATAGTCCAGTAGTTAGTGCCTCCAGTGGATTCTGGGAGTGCCAGGTTTTGACTCTTTGTACCTACTAATCTAATTTCTAACTCTTCTTGCTTTGTAAAAATTAAAAAAAAATAAATATACATATAGGCACATAGTTATTAGTTCAGCCTGGGCAAGGGGGCTTTTTAGAAGACAAAATATTTGGGTTAAATGCTTTGACACTCCCTAAGGTTTGGGTTTATTGCTTTCTAATTAAATCTATGTAAAAATTGCTCAAAAACCTCCTTTGTATTACTTGATAAAATAAAATACCTAAATTACCCTCGTTCCCACTTTCTCTCTCTACCCACCTCTACTCTCACGTGTCCCCGCACCACCCTCTATCCTCTCATGGCTAACCAAGATATTAGGACTCATGACACCCATTAAAACCACCGCCATCTGCCACTGCCACAGTTGACAGCAATCGGCCACAACGGCAGTGGCCAAACCTAAACCTACCTATTACCCAAAAGATCTGGTCCCCAACTGCACCTTCCATTTCTCTTCTTGCCTTTGCCTCATCATCATCGTCATCGCCGCAGATGGGTTTCACGGAACTGGAGTGAATTAGTCCAATTGGCAAAGGCACACTGTTTACAAAGTTGTCCATGTCTTACTTATCGCTTCCCAGTGCTGCAGTCAGTGCTGACACAACTGATTTTTTTCGGCAGAGACTGGGTGACAGACAGGGGCGGAGCTAGGATTGCAAAGTGGGAGGGTTAAAGATAAGAAAATTTGAAGATGAACACAATAATTTTTGTGACAAAGATATGTTATATATATTTAAAAAAATTGGAAAAAAAAAAAAAAATGATTCTGTAAAGAGAGAGAGAGAGAAATATTGGAAGAGAAAGAGAGAGAGTCTGCATATACACACACTGTGCATATATATATATATGTTTCTCTCTATATATGTTATCTATATATATAGACAACAAGCACGTATATTATTATATTAAGCAGTGAGGTAAGGAATAATTTTATAAGAGTTGAGCAAATTTGTACTTTCATAATAAAGGGCTGTGAAAAAAGTTTAATTTTAAGGGCATTGTGGGGCTTTAATACAAAAATTGGTCAAAATTGATGATTGGGGGGCACTTTGCTCAAAAGATTGATAATAAAAGAATTTATATGCACTTATTTTTTAATAAAGATGTTTTTTACACATTTTTTGTATAAGAGATAATTTTTTGCACTTTATTCTTTTATAAATATCATAAATAAATTAAAACACGAGTTTTGATTAGGTTGAACTAGCAATTATGGTGTTGGACTATTTAATTATTTTTAGTAAAACAAAGGTTTTTATTTTATTTTTATTTTTATTTTTTTGTGGTGAAGTAGTTGTTAAACTACTAATCCTTTTAAACCCTAGTTGGACATATGCATAACCAATTCATCAACATCTTTGAATGAGGTCCCGCCTTCTTTGATAATATCTACGATTGCTTTACTCAACTCCACGGCTCGGGCCCTCTCGACTCGGTTCTCACCCACCAACTCAACCACCACTCGAGCTAAAACGGCATAGTCTGGAACAGTTTATGCACCCTCACACACTCTAATTGCCACCTTTAACTCATCCGCAAATAATTTTTCATTGAAGAATTGCTCAGCTGCCATGGGCCAAGCCAGCAATGGCACTCTAGACACCAGGCCCTCAAGAGTCGAGATCCAACCGCAGTGAGTCAAGAACGCGCCCACAGCTCGGTGACTCAGTATCGACCCTTGTGGAGCCCACCCCCTTTGGATAAACCCCCTCCCAGCCACACGATCTTCAAACCTGCTCGGGATAGCGTAATAACCTCCCTCCACGTGTCCCATCTTCAGCTCCAAAAAGTATCAGTTGGTGTAAATTAAATCAAAATTTGTATTTGCCTTCATGCACACCGAACGAGGAAGGAAGGAAAAATCATTGATATAATGGGATTTAATTAATTATTTAAGTAACTCTTTAAATTGTCTATATATGTTTGTTTGTTCCGTTTGATTAGATGATTTTTGCATTAAATAAATTTGTATGTGAATCTGATTAATGCTGGAATATTAAATTATTATTATTATTTTTTTAATTGATGGATCAGTATTAAATATTGTTTAATGAAAATAGATTTATTAAGAATTGGATTACATGATGTAATGTAAATAAATTAGTAAATATTTATTTAATGCATAAATATATGATTGATATTATGATTGCACCATTATGGGATGGGGGCACTTTAGGAATTGATTAACGGAATAGTTAAGTCCAACCTATTTATATTTATAAGGGAATGGAATTAACTATATATTTAAGTCCTACTTATTCCTGTCAGGTCAACGGAATAGTTAGATGACATATTATTAAAATAATATTTGGATGGTTTATTTTGATGGTTGGATAAGACGGATTTTACATATATAATTATACGCCATGATATGAACTTGAGTCTCAAGATCAGTAGTTAGGGTGTGTATATTGTCAGGAATATGTAGCTAGATATAGTGTAGTTGTGTGTCCTGGTAGGTCTAGGTACTCATGCTCACTATATGTGCGTTTTGCATGTTGTCTACTATTCATGTTGAGACAACTCTATAGTCTAGTGAGGTTCCTTTAGTGTTTATATATCTATATACGGACTATTTAGTTATTGTTGAATTAATTATGATATATACATGTATCGGGTCTCTATTTGAATAGATTAGAACTTATTTGTGGGTTGACCCACCATTATTTTTCTGGTGTTCGTCAATTCCAAACCTAGAGGTTGATCATACTGAGTAGAGACAGTTTATTCACTCTTTGAATTCAACGTAGGATTCATCTTTATATTTTAGTTATGGATTTAGATTATTTATTTATTTATTTATTTCTAATTCGTTTTATTAGGGGTCTACAATATGGATTCCTGAGTTGTAGTTTAAATAATTACTGGTATCAGAGGATTCAAAGATTTTATTATGGCATTATTTAATTATTATTTATTTGAGGATTATTTATTTAGTTTTCTTTTCAACGATATTATTTATTTCTTATTATTCTTTTTGTATTCTGTATTCATTTACATATTTAATTGTTTGGTATCCCTCAGATCTATGCTCGGACTTGATCACCCGTGACTCTAGAATCGAGGGGTATCACAAAACTCAATCTCCGTTTGATGATCTCAAATACCTTGTCCACACTCCTAAATTTTTTGACGGGACTTGAATTGCTCGGGTTATTCATACCCAAACCACCCCTAATTCTTTAAGTGAAATTTAATTTTTTTATCAGAATTTTTTTTAGTAAAGGCAACCTTTAATAATTATAATTTTTTTAAAAAACGAAGATAATAAATACAAAAATATAAATGTTGATTGATAATATTTTTCATTCAATACATTTATAATAAGGGACGGAGCAAGAATTTAATTTTATAGGGTACTATGTAATACTTTACAAATTAGATGTCGATATCTAGGCACATAGATAATGGGCCAGCCTGGGCAAGGGGTTTTTTTAGAAGAAAAAATATTTGGGTTAAATGCTTTGACACTTCTTGAGGTTTGGGTTTATTGATTTCCGATTAAATTTGCGTAAAAATTGCTCCGACACCTCTTTTCTATTACTTGATAAAATAAAATACCTAAATTACCCTTATCCCCACTTCTTCTCTCTACCCACCTCTACTCTCACGTGTCCCCGCACCACCCTCTATCCTCCCATAGCTAACCAAGATATTAGGACTCATGACACCCATTAAACCACCGTCATCTGCCACTGCCACAGTCGACAGCAATCGGCCACAACGGCAGCAGCTAGACCTAAACCTACCTATTACCCAAAAGGTCTGGTCCCCAGCCGCACCTTCCATTTCTCCTCCTGCCATCGCAGCAAATGGGTTTCACGGAACTGGAACGAATCAGTCGAATTGGCAAAGGCACTGTTTACAAAGTTGTCCAGGTCCTACTTCTCGCTTCCTAGTACTGCAATCACCGCTGACACAGATGATTTTTTTTTATATTGTTTACAAAGTTGTCCATGTCCTACTTCTCGCGTCCCATTGCTGCAATCATCGTTGACACAATTGATTTTTTTCAGTAGAGACTTGGGTACAGATAGGGGCGGACTTAGGATTGCAAAGTTGTTGGGGGGCTAAAGATAAGAAAATTTGAAGATGAACACAATAATTTTTATGACAAAGATATGTTATATATATATTAAAAAAATAGCAACTAAAAAAAAAAAAACACACACACACACACAATGTTTCTGTAAAGAGAGAAAGAGATAATTGGAAGAGAAGGAGAGAGAGTTTGCATATACACACACTGTGCATATATATATTTGTTTCTCTCTATATATATGTTATCTATATATATAAACACAACAAGCACATATATTATTATATTCAGCAGTGAGGTAATTAGGAATAATTTTATAAGAGTTGGGTAAATTTATACTTTCATAATCAGAGTTAAAAGGGATATGAATTTTTTTTTTTTAATTTTAAAGGCATTGTGGGGTTTTAATACAAAAATTGGTCAAAATGGATGATTGGGGGGCAATTTGCTCAAAAGATTGATAATATAGGAATTTATATGCATTTAATTTTTAATAAGGGTGTTTTTTGTACATTTTTTTTGTATAGTAGAGAGTTTTTTGTACTTTACTCTTTTATAAATATCATAAATAAATTAAAATACGAGTTTTGATTAGGTTGAACCACCATGGTGTTGGACTATTTAATTATTTTTAGTAAAACAAAGCATTTTTTTTTCCCTTTTTTGTGAAGTAGTTGTTAAACTACTAATCCTTTTAAACCCTAGTTGGATATATGCATAACCAATTCATCAACATCTTTGAATGAGGTCCCGCCTTCTTTGATAGTATCTACGATTGCTTTACTCAACTCTACTGCTCGTGCCCTCTCGACTCGATTCTCACCCACCAACTCAGCCACCGCTCGAGCTAGAACGGCCGAGTCTGGAATAGTTTGTGCACCTTCACACACTATAATTGCCACCTTTAACTCATCCACAAGTAATTTTGCATTGAAGAATTGCTCAGCTGCCATGGGCCAAGCTAGCAATGGCACTCCAGACACCAGTCCCTCAAGAGTCGAGATCCAACCACAGTGAGTCAAGAACGCGCCCACAGCTCGATGACTTAGTATTGACCTTTGTGCAGCCCACCCCCTTATGATAAACCCCTTCCCAGCCACACGATCTTCAAACCCACTCGGGACTGCGCAATAACCTCCTTCCACGTGTCCCTTCTTTGGCTCGTTAACGCACCATATGAAATGGGCCCCACTCTTCTCCAACCCCAACGCTAGCCCCTCTATCTGCTCATTTTTCAAAACTGTCTTACTCCCAAAGCACACGTACACCACCGTGTGATCATCACACGTGTCAAGCCACGACAACACATCTCTGGCCGAACCCGTTTTGGACCCATCTCCCTTCGTGGGCCCTGGGTCAGCCTTATCCTCATCAGGAGAAAGTAACGGCCCAACAGCCCAGACCCGATTATGACCCAATACCTCCTTTAAATGATCCAAATAATCCATTTCCAATTCGTGAGAAGTGTTGATCACAAGACCATAACTGGCTATATCACCATAAATCGCATCTTTGACAATTTCTGAATCTGGGTCTCTTTCCACGTAGCTACGGTAGAAAGCAGAGAGCTGCCACCATGGGTAAACTTGGAAATTCGGAATCTTAGGGAAAGAAATCGGACAATTGTGATCATTTGGGTCATCTCGCTTGGGTAGGTCGCGCCACACGGAATAAACGAGGGATACGGCGATCGCACTAACCGGAGAGAACGCGAACCGTTTGATGTTGAGCTGGCAAGCGAGGTTGTGGGTCCACCCTAGGAACTTGTCGGACAAGATTGCTACAGGTGGTGAGCGGTGGTTTTGGAACCATTGGAGGATGGGATGGTGGAGGTCAGTTGTGGCGCGCATGACGACACGGACGGCGTTCGGGGGTTGTCCTTTGGCGCTCTCGAGGCCGACGGAATGGGAAGGGTGGGAAGGGAAAGGAAGGACTAGGGTCTGGATGGAATTGGGGTGTTTGGAGAGAATTGGGTCTAGGAGAGGGAGGTTTTGTGGGGGGACTAGTATGGTGATGGTTAGACCACGGGTGGCTAGTTTGTGGGTTAGTTCAAGGAGAGGCATCATGTGGCTCGCCGATGGGTAGGGGAAGACTAAGATGTGTGCCATGGATATTTGTTCGTATACAGTGGAATATGATAAATGAATATATATATATATATATATATATATATATATATATATATATATATATATATGTTTTTCAACGAGAAGAGAAAGAGACTGGAAGGAAATGGAAAACGAATGTGAAGTTAATGAGGATTGAATGTTGGTTTTGGTTTTGGTTTTGGTTTTAGTTTTGTATTAATGGTCATTTGAAACGTATCCAAGAAAACGGAAACAACATTTAATTTGAAACTTTCATTTACATGCACACACTGTATCACATTACAAATTAACGATCAAGATAAGAACTTGATTTCTAGCAGTGCTCTAATATGAATGTGAGAGAGAGAGGATATATAATTATATATTAATCTAATCTTTCTTAAATTAAACGGCCAATTTGAGGCCTTGTTTCCTACTTCTTTCAGTGTGAACGAGATTAACACAAATAGAATCTTACCTCTGTAGTTATATATATATATATATATATATATATATATAATTGGTCATTATTCATTTGTCTATCTAAAGATTATGGTATATAACCTTCGGTTCCAAGCCTATGATCAATTGTTTATCTTTAATTGTTAAATTAAATTCATTTAACAAATGGGTTTCATTTAATCCATGGATGGTGTATAATGTGGTTTCTCAAGCTAAGTTATATAATCATTTTCAATGGATGTTTTTTTACGTTTCAAGTCGCGTACGATCTCGCTCAAATTCTGACTGCTGTTCATGTTCCCGCACTTTATGTGACTTAGTTCTCAACATCTTTTACGTTTTCCTGACATTTAATATTTCAATGCCAATAGCATTGCTTATTATAGTAACACCACTGTTTTTATAAGATTTTATTTATTTATTTATTTAAGTATAGAAATACCATTGTTGATTTGGTAACGTGTATATTCATCTGTCTATTTAAAGTAATTTCTTGGTTACTTTTGGTAACATGAGTTGGGAACTCGTTAATAAGTCGTTGGAAAGTGATTTACTTGAATTATCTAATGGAGGAATTGGGCAACGATGGGGTTTGGGCCTTTACCAGATCCATATGGGCCCATGGAAATAGGTGGGCCCGGTGCTACTTGGACTGGGAATACAATGACTTGACAATTGCCAGGACATTACTGTGTGTGGTTGTGTGTGTTTCACTGTTTCTGACCAGAGCTTTTTCTCCTGCTGCTGCCAAGTGCCAACCGTGGTAACATGGCCAGTTGAGGACTCGTTATTAACTCGTTGGAAAGGGTTTTTTACTTGAATTATCTAATGGTGGAATTGGGGCCATGATAGGGATTGGACTTTTGGGCCTTTACCAGATCCATATGGACCCATGAAAATAGGTGAGCCCGGTGCTACTTGGACTGGACTATGGCTTGAAAATTGCGAGGACAGTACTGTGTGTGGTTGTGCGTGGGTGAGGGATTTCTCCTGCTGCTGCCAACCGTGGTTGCTCAACTTGCTCCTCGCGGTGGGTTGGGTGCGCACCATTCAACGTCAACCAATTTAATGCTGGGATTTTGGGTTAGACAAAAGTGGGCCAAATTCATAATGTGGTGCATCAAAGAGGCTAGAGGAGAGAAACAAGTGTTGGTGTGGTTCTTTTAATAGTTGTTTTATTTAATTAAATATATTGGTAATTGCATATCATTTATTTAATTAATCTGTTTTTCATATTAATATCATTTTTGGTTAGTCATAAATAGTAGCATATAAAAATATAATACTACTTCATAATTTATTGAACAATCTCTCTATGTTGCTGGTTGAATTTTTCTAGCAAAAATAATTGTTTTAGGAATAGTACCCTCTCATGATTCTGTTCACTTGAGGATTGATGGAAATAATTTTAACCAATTCCATAACAAAAACAAATAATTGTTTTTGAGTAATAATAGGAAATCCAATCAATACTTTCTGGAACTTTTAATCGTTTAGATGTGATGGTAAAAATCACTTAATTGATGATTGGAATATTCGGAGTATCATAGACTTTCTCATTATGTAAGTAAAACCAATTTTATGCAAGTAAAAATTAATGACATCATAATATTACAGATTGAAATAAATCTCCACTCACATAAATTAAATCAAATAGATGGGACTAATTTTCGGAGTAATAATAAATAATCCTTATCATTCATTCAGATAGGTCGGACCAATCTTATGTAAGTAGAATTAAAGCTTGAATCATGCATGAAGTTCAACATTAAAAAACAATGTGCATGTGGGGCCATGATATTTAAATCATCTTGTAAGCTATACATATTAAGCATGCTGGCTTGTATATTCACAAACGCACACAGACACACACACACACACACACATATATATATATATATATATTAATTACTTCTCATTATTCATTTATCTATTTAAAGTAATTTGTTTGGTTAATTTTGCTATAATAATCTGGTAATTAAAAGTTCTCGAAATCGAATCAAGCAACCACCTGTACACACACGTGGCTACATGTAGGCTGATAATTACCTCCAAATTGCAAGAATATATAGTAACCACTTTATATGATATTCACTTATTCCGCATATCAATCCTATGCATTAAAACACACACACTCTCTCTCTATATATAACTCTGTAATAGCATCAGGTTCTTCACTTCCTTCTCTAACATCCCAAACCTCTCTCTCTATAGATATATCTAAATGTAAAATAGGTGGTAAAGCAATTCAACGATGCCGGTCATTGGAGGCGGTGCACACATCCTGGTGTTCCCTTATCCTGCGCAGGGGCACATGATACCTCTTCTGGATTTGACACACCATTTGGCCACCCTTGGCCTCACGGTAACCGTACTCGTCACCCCCAAAAACCTCTCTCTCCTAAACCCTCTCCTCTCCAAACACCCATCCTCCATCAAAACCCTGGTCTTGCCTTTCCCTACGCACCCCTCCCTTCCCGCCGGCGTAGAGAACGCCAAAGACCTCACCCCGAAATCCGCCCCTGCTATGATGCGCGCCCTGGGCGAACTTCGCCAGCCTCTCCTCCAATGGTTCAAGAGCCACCCTTCGCCGCCAATTGCCATCGTGTCCGACATGTTCCTCGGGTGGACCCACCACCTCGCCTGCCAGCTCGGCATCCTACGTGTCGTGTTCTCACCTTCGGGTGCGATGGCCTTGTCCGTCATGTATTACCTGTGGCGCGACCTACCGAAACGAAATGATCCCGACGATCATAGCGCGATGATATCGTTCCCCAAAATGCCGAATTCCCCTATTTACCCTTGGTACCAGCTCTCCGGTCTATATCGGAGCTACATCGAAGGAGACCCAGTTTCGGAATTTATCAAGGATGGGTTTCGCGCTAACATGGAGAGTTGGGGACTCGTTATTAACTCGTTCGAATCCTTAGAAAAGGATTACTTGGATTATCTGAAGAATGAGTTGGGCCATGATAGAGTGTGGACTGTTGGGCCGTTGCTAGATCCATCTGGGCCAACGGAAAGAGGTGGGCCCGGTGCTAATTGGGCTGGTGATATAATGACGTGGCTTGACAGTTGCAAGGACCATACTGTGGTGTATGTGTGCTTTGGGAGTCAAGCTGTGTTGACAAGTGAGCAAATGGAAGCTTTGGGACTAGGATTAGAGAAAAGTGGGGCCACATTCATATGGTGCATCAAAGAGGCCAGAGGAGACGCTAAATGTGGTGTGGTCCCACCTGGGCTAGAGGATCTTGTGGCCGGGAGGGGACGGATTGTGAGGGGGTGGGCCCCACAGGTGTCGATACTTAGTCACCGAGCCGTGGGGGCGTTCTTAACTCACTGCGGATGGAATTCGGTTCTCGAGGGACTAGTTGCGGGGGTGGCAATGTTGGCGTGGCCAATGGGAGCAGATCAGTTCGTGAACGCAACCCTTTTGGTGGAGGAGTTGAAGGTGGCAATTAGAGTGTGTGAGGGTGCAGAATCGGTTCCAAACTCGGACGAGTTGGGTCGATTGGTGGCACAATTGGTGGTGGATAGGAATCGGGTTGAGATGGTTCGAGCCATGGAATCGTCTAAGGCTGTATTGAATGCCATTAAAGGAGGAGGCAGCTCATTCAAAGATTTGGACAGATTGGTTATGCATTTGACAAAGGAGGCTTCATTGCGAGACAAAATACTTGATGTCGAACAAAAATGTAGCACCATGGAGTTCACTGATAACCATTACAAACCAATCATGCATGCCTGAAAAAGATTTGGACAGATTGGTTAGTCAAATGGTGATTGATTTTTTGAGCAATGCTAAAGAGACAGCGACAGAAATGTGGTAGGGTCTAGGTTTACAGCAGTTGTAATAGAGTCTGTTGTCGACTCTTGATTAAAAAATTTCTTTATTAAATGTTCATCTGTCTAGTTTTGGCTGTATTAATATAAATATCTCATTTGAAAAGTTAAACTATATATATATAGAGATATATATTAATATTATTAATTTAATGTTTTTTACATGGAACTTATAAGAAGTAAATAATCACATCTTGTGAATCCATTATACATAGTTTTATAATTCATTCAATATCAATACAATTATTTAGGAAAAAAAAATACCAATACAATTTTTTTTTTTTTTACCATGAAACTGCCAAAATAATAAAAAATAAAAATAAAAATAAAAAGACAAAAAGCACATCGGTTGCAACGAGTATTTTTGTTTTTTTTTTTTCTCTTCGCTCTCACTTGTTGTCTTTTTTCTCTCTTACTATATTTTTGTAACATGACATAAAATTTTTTTATCCCTTATCCTTTTTTTTCTCTCTCACAGTTAATCAACCTCCATTTTCTTTTTTATTTTCTAAAAAAAGGCCCTTGCTTTAATTATGACCCAAATCGTTCTTATCTAAAATTTCTAATGATGGCAATTAGTGTTGGCAGGTCATATTCATATCGTGTTGACCTAATGATATTTTAGTATACTAGGAAAAAACAGGTGCGATGCATGTTGTTGAAGCGAAAATCAGCATGACCCAGGACGACACCGTTTTCTTACAAAAAAAGAGAGGAGAAGATCTATAAATCTTGACGACACCGGTGTGATGTCTGCCAAGAGTTCTCCGATAATCAAGTTAGTCACCGGAGGTCTAAAATAAAGGCAGAGATTTAATATTTCGTTTTTAACACACCTGATTGACTAGTAGGGCCATGTTCTTATAGTCGGCTCTCTTTTAGTTTGTTACAAGATCAAAAAAAGTTTGTTACGGAGACTATCTACACCTTGAATTTGAACTTATACTGTCCTAGGTTATTTTTACCCAATTGAAGCACTTTATTTTTATCTTATTTGCTTATCTAAATTCACCTTATCAGTTGCCCCGCATTCCCAAGCTTGCTCATCTAGCTTTGGGAATGTCAAACTTTTTTTTTTAACCCCCGGGCACAGTTCTCGAGGTAAACAATGTCACCTCGTGTACTGTTCCGAGTAAAAATTTTAATTTTAAATTTTTTTTACCCCTGGGCCCAATTCCCGAAGTGAACAGTGTCACCTCAGGTACTGTACGTTCCCGAGGTGAATAGTATCGGCAATTTTTTTCACCTCGTCACGGTTCCCGAGGTGAATAGTACTAGGCAAATTTTTTGCCCCCCCAGGCATAGTTCCCAAGGTGAACAGTAACTTTTGTTTTTCTTTTTAACCTCGGGTTATTATTCCAAGGTGAACAGTACACTGGGGTATTCTTCCCAAGGTGGAACTAATACATATATCAAATCAAGGTTATGTTTTGTAAAGGCGTAGGTTCAAACCTATGGTCAATGACTTTTAGTGATGCAAAGCTAGATTTTCTTTGGAATCTAACATATTATTTGCAAATTTTACGAGCTTCACTCAGCTCATCCCTTTGGTAAGGGAATAAATATTTCGAGCTTTACTCAGCCCATCCCTTTGGTAAGGGAATAAATATTTCGAGCTTCACTCAGCTCATCCCTTTAGTAAGGGAATGAATTTTTACGAGTTTCACTCAACTCGTCCCTTTAGTAAGGGAATGAATTTTACAAACTTTACTCAGCTCGTTCCTTTAGTAATGAATTAATTTTTACGAGTTTTACTTAGCTCGTCCCTTTAGTAAGAGAATGAATTCTTACAAACTTCACTCAGCTCGTCCCTTTAGTAAATGAACTGTTTTCACGAGCTTTACTCATCTAATCCCTTTAGTAAGGAAGCTTGGTTTTTTGTTAGCTTTATGTAAAACATTACCATATTGGTCATTCACAGGTAACTGAAAACATAATATTTTATTGCGTAAACATGAGGGGTCATCTTATTGGTGATCGTGACTTTATTAAAAAATAAGATGACATGTGAGGGAGCTATCCTCCCTTTATAATGATTAACTGACATGCCCCCTATCTTTATTTTGAATGACTTACTGAGGTTACTTCCAGCTAGGAGGCAACTTTAATCACACTAGCTTTATGAGCTGAGTTGGATTCATCATCCTAGGTCTACTCATCCAGAGATGATCATGATCTCCCCAATTAGTTGCTGCCCCAGAAGGCAATTATTTGGGTTGGTACCTTCATTGGCAACAAACTTTTGTAAGTGACACCTTCAAATCAGATTCTTAATTTGACTTTTAAGGTTAAAACAATCATCCGTAGTGTGCACATGATCCCGATGGAACATGCAATACTTATTTCGAGATCTTTTCGCTGGATCAGACTTCATCCTTTGTGGCCATTTCAAAGACAAATCCTCTTGGATCTGTAAGAAAAATATGGTTAATTGATGTATTCAAAGGAGTGTAGTTGGTATACTTATCTGAGTCCTCACAAAATGTCTTATCGCTTTGGTAGAAAAATGATTTCTTATATTTGGTTTCCTTCTCATCCTTGGTGTCAGAGGCTGACCTCTTCTTGTTATCTTCTTCATTTTCCTTCCGTGCATTCATGGCTTTTTCAGCGTTCATGTGCTTCTAACCAACAACTCTGCCATACTGGTGGTTTGGAGTCCTCCAATGAAAATGGTCAAAGCCACCTTGTCATCCACCTCTTCTACCTGCAACATTGCTGTGTTGAATCGGGTGATGTATTCCCGGATCAACTCTCTCTTCTATTGCTTCATAGTCAGCAAGTAGGTGGCCGGCCTCCTATGCCTCTGGCCTATAATGAAGTGGATTACAAACTGTTTACTTAGTTCTTCAAAGTTGTCGATGGTTCCTAGCTTCAGCTTATTGAACCAAACTCGTACCGATCCCTTGAGGGTCATAGGAAAGGTTCGGCACATGATTTCATCTAGCACATCGTGTAAATGTGATACCCTTCAATTCTAAAGCCACGGGTTGACCAAGTCCATGTCCAAAATCGAGGGATACCAAATAATTAAGGTAATAAACAAACACGGATTACAAAAGATAAATAAATAATCAAGTTGAAAAGAAACTAATATTAATTTCTCCAAAATAATATCCCAATTAAATAATTCTCCAAAATACTCTGATACCAATAATCCTCTAGATTACAACTCGGGAATCCATAATGTAGACCCCTAATAAAATCCCAACTAAAACAATAATTGAAATAAATAACTAAATCCAAAGTCTGAAAATATAAAGTAGAATCCTACGTAGATAATCGGAAGAGTGATGAAGACTGGTTTCTGCTCTACACGAATAATCTCTATACCTGACAAATACCTGAAAAATAATAGTGAGTCAGGACTACGAACAAGTTTTACTCTACTACATCCCAAATAGAGACTCGATACACATATACATCTTAGTCAACTCATACAAAAAATACATAGTCCACATATATATAAATACATACTAAAGGACTCTCACTGTACTATAGAGCGGCATCAACCTGGATAGTAGGCAACATGTAAAACGCACACATAGTGGGCATGAGTACCAAGATCTACCAAGGCACACAATTATCCATTATATCCAACTATGCATCCTAGGTAATATCCCTAACCACTGATCCTGACAACTCAAGTTCATATTGTGGCACATATCCATATATATATAATTCATATCCTATCCAAAATAAAATAAACTATCCGCCATAATCTTTCAATGGCATGTCATTCACATGGTTCTATGACCTGACACGAATAGATGTGACTTAACTTATTAGCCAGTCCATCAAGTAATATGCCTTATATCCTAACAATGGTGCATCAATCCATAACACAACCAAACAATAATTTTCAATCCATATAATGATGCAAGCATGTATATACATCAAAATAATCTAGGGAAAAAAAAAAAAAAACATGATATAAATCATACAGATATCCATTACATTTATTTAAGCAACATAAATAATTTAAATAGCATGCAATTAACATACATCACAAGTAATTAACCTTCATCTTAATTAAATTATATAAACCTCTTTAATAATGATTAAAATCATTTAAGCATTTATTTCAATTGTTAAACACAATTTAAATTAATAAACTTATCCATTAAACAACTTAGAAGTTATTTAAAATTCCATATTGTCCAATTCCTTAGCATATTAAAGTATATTATACATGTTGGGGCATAGCGGAAGCAAAAATAAAGAAAGAAAAATAATAATTCAAACCACAACACAAGATATATACGTGGTTCACCCAAAATCAGGGTTACATCCACGGATGAGAAGAGATTCACTGTATATGTAGAGATATTACAATAGTGGAGAATTTCAACACCTGACCATGCATACAAACTCTTGACCAAGTTCTCCGTTTACTCCACGAGATTCCCTCTCGCCATCAGTGTTCACTCTACCAAACCCGTAACTCACCCCTACCATCAACGTATTCCCTCATAAGGCTACATCTCTCTAAACTCATAACTCTCAACAATAGCCTAAGTGTCTATTTATTGAGTCACATACCCAATTTCTTTATGGACAAGGATTACAATTTCTTAGAACCCAATTCACGTCTCAATAAGAAATCACTATAAAAATACACTCTAAAATAGAAACTAATAATAATGGAAATTTGAGACATAATTCCTAACAATCTCCACCTTAGCTCAAATTTTATTATGTCAATCATAGTTTCTCATGGCAATTGAATCTGGACAATTCTCTGCAACTTCAATCTTCTCGATCTTATTGCAGAACTCGGATTATCCCCACTATACATTGCTCAATCAGTCAAACCTCAAGGCTCCACCTTGACTACTCAAACTCCATGCCATGTAACCAAGCCGATTGACTCCACTTACAACTGAAGCCCGTTGTAGCACATGTTGAGACTTCTTGTGTTTTCTGTATCTCTTTCACCTTTGGCTCTGATACCAGTTGTTAGGGTACAGCAGAGGCAAAAATAAAGAAAGAAAAACAACAATTCAAACCATAACACAAGATATATACATGGTTCAACCAAAATTAGGGTTACATCCCTCATGAGGCTACATCTCTCTCAACTCATAATTCTCAACAATAGCCTAAGTTTCTATTTATAGAGTCACATACCCAATTCCTTTGTGGATAAGGATTACAATTTCTTAAAGCCCAATTCACCTCTCAATAAGAAAT